GTCAGCCATTCCACGAGACCTCCTTTCTAACACCTCTGCGTAGACCTTACCCGTAGGTTCTACATGGTAATGCCACGACAATTGATGTATTCCCCATGATCTTTTTTCTTGAATAGGGGTACTGAAAACCCAGTTTTCCAGTTCACCGGTTTCTTCTCCGTAGTCACTAAAGTTCGACAAACGCTATGTTATCCAAATGTGATTTGTGTCTAAAACTTTCAGAGGGTTTCATCGGCTTCACCAGCCTTGCCACTTTTCAAGCCTTTTACAGCTTCTGTGACTTCATCTACCGTAAGTAGAGGTCACAAATATTTCATCATGATTTCATGCTGTTGTGTTTCTCTTCCTGTAAGCAACTTCAATCATTTTTGACTAGCAATATGGCCGTTTGTTTGAGGTTTACATGTTAGAAGCAATAATTCAACTTGGGTGTTCAGAATCAGTTCTTATTGTTATAATCATTTATTAGTATTGATTGCAACGTTGCTCGTTAGCCATAACTCGATGAATTTCTTCTGAAATAAGAGCCCGTTTTTCCATTTTAATAAGAACCTGCCTGCTGTAGCAACGGACATATCCTTCGTGTAGCAATTTTTGAGTCTATCAAGAAGATTGAGCATATTAGATCTGTTTAAATCTGTCGGTCTGCCTGTCAAAATTTTATAAACGAACCTTAAGACACTCGATCAGTTGCCTAAACCTAAATATAACAAATGAACAAGTACAAAATAACAAAAGAAACAGAAAACATGGATCCCAATCAAGCTTACCAGAGTTTTATTGATATATAACCAATTATTAAATGTCATCGAATCAAATCAGCTTCAGATCGTTGGATTCTTTCGTCCATACTTTTACACTGCCTATTTCACTACTTTCCTGTTCGTGGCCTGGAATTTTACAAGTACTTCATAGGCAACGTTTCTCTTAGCTGTTTAGAGAAGTTCCGCATCGCTTAGAGAGAACAGATGTTTCTAAACTGTGCCTGAAGGCCGCCGAAGCGGCTTTTTTAAAGATGGCTATATTCATTAGCTGTTTTCGTAATCATTAATATATTATTAAGTACAGCTGAACCGCCTATTGTAGAAGAAGCATAAAACAATATCCCAATTTTAGTTCCTGCAAGATTCGTTTCGCTTTCCAGTCTTTCGTCTAATTTGTTTTGTTTTAATTATTTGTCTTCAATCTGTGCTGGTATGGAATCAGCTCACGTCCCACTGGGCAAATCTCTCTGCTTGTCGTGAAGCCAAAGTGCAGATAATGAGGATGACTGAAGGAGCGTCGAATCACATGAACAGAAAATTTTACGGCTCGGAGCATTGTGTCAAATCATACGTGACCTCGTATCGGCAACTACATATGTCAATGACGATTGAGCAACTTCGCAAAATTCTATTATGTAAAAAATTTTTTTTACCGTCTTATTCTGAAACCGTCTGGTTGCCGCTTTGTTACGAAATAATCAGCACACTGAGCAACTTCTGCTGAACATAAAGAGGTTGATCATCATCTGCAGGAGTGAGAGGTGGAAGAGTTGTGCACTCAGCGAGATCACTCGCCAAAAATATATATTGTGAAAACAGTCATTTTGGGATGCCGGAGTCAAACAACCGAATAGCATAGAATCTTCCCCCTCCAATGAATATCTTCGCTAAGTTGTTCAAAACCAAGCATAAGATTGCGTGGTTGTTCAACAACCTCCTTGCATGTGACCTTTCAACAGAAGTATCGGTTGGATATTTCTATTGTCAGGCTGGACTCTACTAAAAGTCATTGTCATTAATCGACTTCATGGCTGAAAGAAATTTAATGAATTAGAAGTTCCGCTCCTTCGAACAATTTTTCTAGAACGCTTTTTCCGTAAAGCCAGTAGTGGACTCAACCTTCAACCTCCACTGACAATTTTTTTCAAAACTCAAGCTACTTTGAGTTTCATTAGAGCATTATTCAAGTACCGAGTCGACCTCAAAACTTGCAAAAATGAGAGAACAATTGTAAGATCTCTGGGTACCCGTTTGCAAATTAAAACCAGAAAGAAAACTCAAACATGATGAGGTGTCGCGCAGTTACTTTTTGAACAATAGATGTCCCATTAGCCCTACGAACAAACTGTTAGCAACCTCACTTCTCTGAACCATTTGCATCTTCCATTCTCGGTTCTCAAAACGATGGCCCCCTAAACTCGTATTTTTCTTTGTTACATTGAACTTTCTTTCACGCAGGAACAAAGTACAATTAGAAGCATTAGAATATCAAGCGTCACTCATTCACATGTTCATAGATAACTGCGAGTACAGCCAATACTTCTCACTTAAGTACGTCTTTTTCCATTTTAAGCCTCACCGCAAAAAACACATCTTTTCACACATTTTCTATCTTTTCACCTTTTAACTTTCGTAGAATAGAAACTGAAAGATACTCATTAGCGTAGAACGACACATAGCTGACATTTGTTAATTCATCGACCTTATTACTAACACCCGTGACATATAATTAAGTTAGTTTATCTCACTTTTAAGCCTCAGTTTGGGATAATTATGGAAATATT